ATGTCACCTCGTAATGGGAAGGCTAGTGGAGATCAAGTCGATTTGATCAACTAGCACCAGAAGCTTGTCCACCCTCATTGACACCCCTAGTCAATGGGTATGGTGGATGCAAACCACCTAAGGGGCAGGAAGAGGTGCATGGAAGCCTACCACCTGATAGGTTGAAGATGAAAAATCAGGCTGGGGGGCAAGTTGATGTTAAGAAAGGTGAACAAAATGGTGTGTCCAACAGAACACCATATTTGTTTCCTAAATATGGCATGGGGGGCATATCTCCATTTCCATGCAGTGGGAAGCGGGGCATGTCATCAAACATGAAGGATGAAGTGAGTGGCAAGCCTAAGTGGGTGTTGGATACCCATGCCACCCATGATTTTCATAACTTTGACAGCGTGTCAAAGAGTGGACAAGGAGGCAAGGCCCCTTGTGGCATGCCACCCATGAACGGTCGGCAACGGGGCATGTCACCAACCACAAACAATAGACGGATAGACGTGCCCAAGAATCCACATGAAGTCGAAGCCACACATGCTTGTGATAAACATACTAATATGGCTAAGTCTGGACATGACGGCATGCCACCAACCACAGAAAGTGGACATGGAGGCGTATCCAATAAGACACGATGTGATAAAGCCACAAAAATTTATTGTAGATGTGAAAATTTAGCTAATTATGGACAAGGCATGTACAAGAAGCCACGTGAAATCCAAGCCACACATGCATATGATAAGCATGTTAGTCTGGCTAAACCTGGACATGGGGGCATGTCACCCATCCTGAAGTATGAAGTAGGGGGCATGTGTTGGAAGACACAACAGCTCCAAGCCACCCATGGCTTTTATAAGTGTACAACTATGGTTAAGTCTGGACAAGAGGGCATGCCACCAATCATCAACAGTGGACATGAGGTCAAGTCCAACAAGAAAAGACGTGGGAAAGCCAAAAAGAGTTCTCGTAGTGTTGAAAATTTAGCTAAGTATGGGCAAGGAGGCATGTCACCCACCATGAATAATGGAGTAGGGGGCATGTCCAAGAAGCTAAAAGAATTTCAACCTACACATGCTTGTGATAAGTACGCAAGTTTGGCTAAGTGTGGACAGGGGGGCAAGTCCATGTCCATGAGTAGTAAGTACATGCCATCAATCATGAATGATGGACATAGGGGCATGCATAAGAAGGTATCATACGCACAAACCAGACATGGCCTCACAAAGAACCAAGGATGGTCGTGTGCTAAGGGTAGGAGCCAACAAGGTTTGGAGGTTGAAAGACAAAGTCAAGTGGGCCATATGGGTGGTCGCCAACTTGTCAAGACTGGACATCGTCTCCAACAACATGAGGAGAGTAAGCATGTCTCAACCATGAGGAAACCAAGGCAGAGGAAAACCCATGGTCGTCTTGACATGTCAAGTGATGTGGCTAAAGCGTATGAGCATGAGACCCCATGCAAGGCCACCAAGGCTAGACATGCTGATCATATACCACCCACTGGTAAGCTAGAAGATTCAAAATTAATGTATGGAGAATCATGTTCTATGGAGGAAAAGAGGCATGTGGTATATGGATGGCTTGCATGTTTTAATCCATGGACTTGGCAGTGGGTGTGCACCTTTGGCGCATTAGTTGTTGCCAGAGGCAATGGAGAGCAGTGACGTTTGTCACTCCTTGTTATCTTAAATAAATAAATATCAAATATATTAATAAATAAATAAAAGCCAATCATGGCTATATAAGAAAAAAATAGAGAGAAAATAAAAGCCAATCATCGAAGTTATTAGACTTTGATGTGAAGATCTTACCACCAAGTCGTAGTGATGGCTTGGCATACTGAGTCGTAGATTGCGTCTTGCCATGCTATGTCGTCTTGTCCCAAGTGGCCACCAGTTTGGATGTTGGCCACGACCTAAGGGCATCGTGGCTTGGAGATGAGTGATGGCCAGCTTGATCATGTACAATAAGAAAAGTGTAGGGGCCTCACTGAATGGTTGACGAAAAGCCAACAAGGCAAGGGTTTCTCGTGGCTACACATGAATGAAGACAACATAGGCGGCATAGCTAGCCACTTGAAAGACGTAGGTATCATGGTGTTGTTTTAGGGGGGAAAATATCAAGTTTTATTGGACCTGTGGTCATGAGTGAGTAGAGACAAGCCTTGTTACTCGAGGACAAGTTAGAGAAGGGATATAAGTGGTCAAGTTGGTCTCAACTACTTAGTCCATAATCCTTATGCACTAAGTAGTTGGGGGGGCATTTGTTTACACCATAAATTTTGTCTTGTACCACATTGGTGAGTTACAAGATAATCAAGGAGTTTATAAGGCCACACCCATTATAACAATTAATGTTGTTTAAATTGGGCCTTATGGATATTGATTTTAAACCCAAGTCACTAGCTCATTAATGAGCATGAACATGATTCAATAAGGGACATGGGCCTCTCGTAAGAGGCCATGCCATGCCACGAGATGGCATGAAAATTTCTAAGTATGAAAAGTCCATGACCATGAATGAAGAGGCCATGCTGCCTCATAGCCAAGGCCAAACGACACAAAAACATGTCCATCTAGAATTTAGAAGCACATGCCATCTCAAGGAAGACCTCGATACGGTCAAAAATATTCTAAGTCTCGAGAAGGGCATGCCACTTCACGAAGAGGCCATGCCGCCCCATGACCAAGGCCTAATGACTGAAAAATAAACTAAGTCTGGAAGAGGTACATGCCACTTCAAGGAGAAGCACGTGTCGCTTCATGAGAAGGGGCATGGACGCGAGACAAGATGAGACGTCCATGCCACTTCACGAGAAGGGGCATGGACACAAGAAAAGATACTAAGTATGAGAGGGTCATGATGTGTCACGAGAAGGGCCACAAACATGACTGAGAAGTCCATGGCCGCGAATGAGGAGGCCATGTCGCCTCATGATCCAAAATATACTAAGTCTGAGAAGGTCATGACGCCTCACGAGAAGGGCCATGTGCATGATTAAGAGGTCCATGGCCGTGTCATGTGATGGCCATGGACACGAATGAGAAGGGCGTGGTGGTGGAGCACTATATCAGTAATGACTAAGTCCCAAGTGGGCCATGGACATGGGTAAGAAGTCTATGGCCGTAAGACAAGAAGGCCATGGACATGAGTAAGAAGTCCATGGCCGCGAGGCAAGAAGACCACGACTCCCTTTGCGAGACACTACATGCTCGTCAAAAGACTAGCATAGCACGAGATTCAGAACAAGACTAGACGAGGCAAGCTAAACTCCAAAACCCACGACGGTTCCAAGAGAGGCACCTTAGCGGTTGAAGGAGTAACCACCACTCCGAGGAAGCAGGGAGTAGTTCTTTTTGGGAGTTATCCAAGAGGTGGTTTTCTACCGAAGAAGGAGGAGCGGTTCTTTGTAGCAGTTATCCAACAAGCGGTTTTCTATGGCGGTTACATCCTCGGGGCTATAAATAAGAAGAGGGGTCGACAGAGACAAGGGGTTCAAAAACCAACACTCTGACACACATGTCAAGTTTATCCTTTACCTTTTCTCTATCATGTAGCCATAGATGTAGTTCGTAGTTTGGAGCTCTCGCCGAACCTCCATATGAGTAGAAGTAATTTAATTTAGATCTCGTTCCCAAAAACCATCAATCAAACACCCTCGTTCGAACTTTGTTTGAAGAGGTTTGAGCCGTGTCTTAGAAATCGTTGTCCATAGAAGTCAAAGGTGCAATCCATCTCAATTCAATACAAAGAGTTTTCTCGCCGGAAAACAATATGTATATATGGCTAAGTACAAAGTAATAAACATGTCTTTAATAATATATGTCCTTGATCACTAGACAGACGTATCGAATGAAAAAACATATGATCAATTGATGCCAAATTTTGCAGGTGTCATCAATCTTCTAAGTATTAGTCAAAGGAGTTTTGGACATTAATAACTATTTTCTTGGCCTACTTAAGATGTGAAAATTTGCAAAAGGTACCGTGATGACTTTTACATGCTCAAGTTAGTATTATAAAAAAAAATGTAAAATTTCATCTCTATCATCGTGTGTACTTATTGGACATTTTGTTTGCACCAAAGAGAGTGATGTAGGATCGCATCTATAACCAGTAATTACTAATAAGTATCACTCGTACATAAAAGTGCCCAGTGCACGAGCATGCTTTCCCTATATCTTATGGAAGAGATAAGCAAGTCACAAAATGACCCCAACGATGAATGTATTGTTATGAGTTTATAACTAACCTTCCAGATGAGCAGGAAGTAAACTACATATCGCTTTATCACGAAGAAGATTTGGTCTGTCTGACTAACCCTATGAATCAAACACATGATAATGCTTAACAGCGAATCTATCAGATCAACCAAAACCCCATCTTTCAAGTTGACATGAAATCACACAAAATTCTCATCAATTCAATTGCTACGAATTCGTGGTGAGAATACGTGGAACAAGTGCAGATCCCTTGTTATCAGGTTTGAAGTCACCATGTTTTGCATTCATAAGTTGATAAAACACTTCAAGGTAGGGGAATAAGAATGACTAACCCCTCCTCCTCCACTATTTAGGTTAATTTTAAATCACAATATCTTATGTTTAGCTCGCCCTCATCTAGATATTGCACTGGAGGTAAGGTACTTAACTCGCCTAGCTAGTACCTTCGTTTCTACTTGGTAGCTAGCTAGCTAGAAAGACTTTTCCTTAGCCCCTTGACATCTTCTCAAACCAATTGGAAAGATGAAAGAGAGGAAGAAAGCAGAATTTCATCGACAACAACACTACTACAAATAAAAGAAGAAGAAAATTCCATAATAAAAAGAAAAGAAAAGGAGGGAAAAAGGAAAAGTCCACCAAACACAAACTGATTGATTCCAGGGAGAGGGATGGATAGATAGAGGAGAAATGAAATGAAATCCTTTCCCCACCTTTTTCTTGCTTCTGCTTTTCCCCTCTCCTCTCTACATTACAAAATTGAGTCCCACAAAACAGATTAAACAAAAAAGCCTCACTTCTCCCTTTCCTTTCCTTCCCCTTCCCAATCCCTAATCCCCATTCCCATTCCCATTCCCCCGCCAAAAAAACCCAATAAAAAATAATACACAAACCAAAAAAAACCAAAACAAAACAAAACAAAAAAAACCCACCACCCACACAACAATAAGCCATTAGAGAAACCACCACATACTTCTTTCATGCCCTCATGGATGCTGGTAACGCCGCCGGCGACAACCACCAAAACCACAACCACAACCGCGGCGGCGGCGATGATCACCATCTCCACCTCCACCACTTCCAACAACACCACCAACACCGCCCCACCTTCCCCTTCCAGCTCCTCGAGAAGAAAGAAGACGAGCCCTGCTCCTCCTCCTCCGCCGCCGCCTACCCTTCCCTCCTCGACCTCCCTTCCACCTCCACCTCCACCGCCCTTACTCCCACAAGCATAGCTCCCACGGCGGACCAGCAGCAGCTACAGACGACGACGACGACCAAAAAGCCGCCGCCGAAGCGGACCTCTACCAAGGACCGACACACAAAAGTCGATGGCCGCGGGCGGCGGATCCGGATGCCGGCCCTCTGCGCCGCCAGGGTCTTCCAGCTGACCCGCGAGCTCGGCCACAAGTCCGACGGCGAGACCATCGAGTGGCTCCTCCAGCAGGCCGAACCCGCCGTCATCGCCGCCACCGGAACCGGTACCATCCCGGCGAACTTCACCTCCCTCAACATCTCCCTCCGAAGCTCCGGCTCCACCCTCTCCGTCCCCTCCCAGCTCAGATCCGCCGCCGCCGCCGCGGCCGGGCTCGGGTTCAACCCTAATTTCTCAATTCAGAACCGCCGCAGCCTCTTCGGCCTCGATCCGCAGCCCACGACGTCGTTTCTCAACTTCCAGGGTGGGAATTTCGGGAATAATCAAACGTCGTCGTCGTCGAAGCAGGAGGTGAGGGAGAGCTCGGAGGAGGCGGCGGCGGCGGAGGAAGGGGGGATGATGAGCAGGAAGCGGAGGAATAGCGATGAGCAGCTGGATTTGTCGTCTTCTTCGAATCAGCAGCATCAGATGGGGAATTATCTGCTGCAGTCGAGTTCCACGGGAGCGATTCCGGCCAGCCAGCACCAGATTCCCGCAGGGAACTTCTGGATGGTGGCGAATTCCGCCGGGATGGGGGCGGACCCGATTTGGACCTTCCCCTCCGTCGGCGGCGCCAACAGCGGCCTCTACAGAGCGGCGGCTGCCAGCAACATGGCCGGAGCGGGATTGCACTTCATGAACTTCCCCGGCGGAGCGCCGGTGGCTTTGCAGCTGCCGCCTGGCGGCGGCGGGCAGCAATTTGGGAACATGGGGGAAGCGCAGCTGAACTTAATGGCGGCAGGGCTGAGTAGTAGTACGGCCGCAGCGGCGTATCGTCATCACCACGCGGCGGCGGCGGCAGCGGCAGCGTCGGATTCTCAGCAAGCGAGTGGATCGCAGCAGGGAGGCGGCGGAGGAGGGAGCCGCGATGATCGGCATGATGCCAGCAGTCATCAGTCGTAATTGTGTGCGCGGTAAAAAAAAAATTTAATCACACGTGAGGTTTGATTGTGCTCTCTTTGCTGATGAGTTTTTTTTACTGTTTTTTTTACTTTTCGGGCTTTTTCTCTCCCTTTCCTGTTGATTTTTTTTTTTACTGAATTATTATTATTATCATGATGATCATTATATTCGACATTTTTTCTGTGTGATGAGAGGAAGGATGGGGAGAGGAGTGTGTTCTCTTTTTTTTTTTCCAGAGAGGGGGAATGGATGGTTTGGGAGGGAAGAAGTGATGATAAGATATTATTGAAAAAATAATCATTCATATATATGCTATTACTATTATTTGCATTATTATTTGGAAAAAGGGTTATCTTCTTTTTCTATTTCTAACATTCCCCTCCTTATTTAAGAGTATAAATTAGGGGATTGATAAGGATTTAGGAAGAATGATGATGTTGATTACAAAGGTTGATGCTTTTGGTGGAGATTGGAATTAATTAAGTAGCAGCGTAGGAAACAGTGGTGGAGTCAGAAATTCAAACGAGAAAGGCTAAAATCTTATCGATTATTCTCAACTTAGTTCCACCGCGGATAGAAAAGCATCATTCAAGCTAGTCCACTAGGTAGTTTGCTATCGACTTTATCATATGAACCATGTATGGTAACATTGTATAAGAGCTTGTTCGAGCTCGATAAGGTAGTGTGGGTTTATGATGGGAGAAAATGACGTGTGGTATGGGAAAGAAGGGGAGTATGGTAAAGAGAGTCCCCTACCTAACCGGCAAAATTCATCAATCATATGGTGGTGTTGTCTGTCTTTTTCTTCCATGGCCAGCCTAGGCCATATGGTATTCCATCGGTGGGGATGATGGGAGTTTTTAGGTCAAAAAAATAAGAGGGATAGAGAGAAAGAGAGAAAGGAAGTGATGAAGGATTGGGGTACTACAAACGTACTATAATTAGCTCTGAGGAGGAGGAAGAAATAGATGATGATGTGTTGAACTGTTGATATCTATAAAACTGTCACTAGTGTGATTATTACGTTATAGCATGCATGCTTGATATGCTCGATTGCCCTTAATTAGCATTGGTTTTGTTTCTATTCTTTTCTTCCTTTTTAAGACCATGATTTCTAATTAGTTAAGTAGTATTTATCGTGGAAAATATATGCTTAAAATTTTTAAGTTCATAGCATGCAGCCGGACATCGTGTTCAATAACAAATTAAATTAAAGCAATGAGATTATATGAGATGTATTACATATGTAGCATATTTTAATAATTCGAGTTATTGAGATCATCTTGTTTTTGTCATGATATCAGAGTTTGTAACGAGCAAAAGAGTCTTGTGTTCGATTCTCTGCAGCCTATGATATCTTCAATATTGACAGTTGATTCAAGCTCACAATGTATCATGAGCCTAACCTAATTCCAAGCTAACAAGTTGGCTTCCCGTGTGAGGAGAGATGTGAGGAAATGGTAAGATCTATAACGAAACCTCTAACAACCACTCGAATTATTGGAGGTCAACAGCTAGTTGTTAACAACACGGAGATGTGAAAATGTATCGCATTGTTTCATCCATCTCAAAACATACACTAACGACCAATTGATGAGATTGTGCTTGGCAAGTTTATGTCAAGAACCAGTTGGTCACATACTAACTGCATGGTGTTATAGTCTTCTGTAACTGATAATTTTTTTGTTCGAATCCCTAGCACATGGTCTTCGAATCCGTGCAAACTTAAACCTCGTGCTTATAGTTTTAGGAGGTGTGTTTGTAAACAGGTATATGATTGATAATGAAACTCTACAGTCGGCCACTCAAGTTATTAGGACTAACTAGTTATTGTAAGGGAAGAAGATAGTTAAGTATGTAGGACAGATATTGCGTGAGCTGCGAGAAAGAAAGATAGCCACTCGCAACATCATCAGCGGTTGCTGCGTTCACCAAGATGAACAAAATTGTTGACAGTTAATTGTGGTCACAGACAGAGAGCATTTGGTCCCTTAATTACCTCTGTGCCAAAACTAGCAGGTCCAACCAGTGGAGTCACTACAACATTACAAACCTGATATCATTGTGGTGATCAAACGAAATTAAGAGCGTCAGAGTAAGAACAGATGATCACTTTGGCAAGCGGAGCCCAGATGACGCCGGCGATGGAGGGCGTCGTATATATATGCCTGCCTTGTCTGCAGCTCGCCAATTAATGGCGGTGGAGGGACCAATCTGCCTCCGTGCAGCCTATCACTAAAAATATTGTTGGTCATAATCTCCCTGCGCCGGGCTGCGACTAGTAATGTTATGCTGTCCACTTTTGCCCTAACTACTGCCACTGCTGCTGAGAGCCCACGGACGATGGAAACCTTGCTAGCCTAGCTAGCTATGCGGAAACAAGCTCATTAGTACTATCAAATATAATAATCAAATCATAACCTCTTTTATTTCCATTTTTTTTTTACAGTAACCTGTGAAATATATTAATCAGAGGTTGTTGTTATATCGTCCAGTTTTAGTTGATCAACAATAAATACTGGAGGTCTATTAACAGGACAGGCCAATTGAAATTTCAATTGGCCTGTCCTGTTATCTATGTAACCAGACCAGACGTTCCTCACAGTTCGTCATAGAGAGTGTTTTATCCAATTATTGACGTCACAACTAACAAGTAGATAGATTATTGGGTTGGATTGGTGTGAGTTAATTTTACAAATGATAAGACTTCTATCGTAACAAGGCATATTTATGAGTACCATATGCTCTTAGTAAGATAAGACTATTTAGATTTTGGCTTAATCAAATTGTGGGGCATGCTACCGCATTATAATCTTTAATGGGTGAACTTTAGATTCTAATCATTGAAGTCTCACGCTCTACATACTAAGATGGTGTATTTAGTATATTACCGTGTCTCAAACTCTGATTACTTCAAGATATAGATAGTATTTTATTACTAAAATTACCTCTTCAGTTTGCTTATGTTAATTTTGCACTGTGCAATATTGTCCATATCGCAGCAAAACACAGCCTCTCGTCATTGGTTCAGCATCTTGTTGATCAGTGTATTTGTTTTTTTCTTTTCTTAATTACCTTGTAAAAATCTCATAGTTATATTCATGTCTTGTTATTCTGTATGGAATATTTCTGGATTTTTTTTTTACCATAGAACTCTCCATATGCTATTGAAATCAATGATGTACTAGCAAAAGGGTGGTGGTGGTAGTATTATTTTTTGACAGCCTCAATGATTAAAGGGGGTGTTTTTCTGAGAGAAAGAAGAGTAGAAATGATATTTAAAAAAAAAATAAAGAGGGAGAGTGGGCCCCAGTACCTTATCAGTTCCAGGTGTTGGGGTCAGGTGGTGGGTGGGGCCCGGTAGTGTCGCTGGTCATTTGCCTAAAACGACGTACAACCCTCACTGACATACAGGTGGATCATTCCTCCTTTCTTCTTTTTCAAACTGCAGGATCCAATATCATTCATCATCTCTTTATATTAATTAACGCCCATTAAACTAAACAAAACAAAACACCCCCACTCTGTAATGTAATGAGTGTGATCAGTAGCAGTAATCAACAGATTAATAAGGGGCTAAGCCTAAACTAAACAGGGCAGCTCGCTCCTTGTCTCCTTTCAAAAAGTGGTGTTAGGAAGGAAGGAAAGGGAAAATTAAGAATGAGGACAAGGAATCGGGTGACATTATGAATGTACAGTTGTTCCCATCCAACAAAATTCGGCTTCTTTCCACTGGCTCTACATACGATATACCTTCCCAAGAAATGAATTATTGTTAAGGAGTATTATCCTTTGGAAATTCATATTAACATACAACTATTTTCTCTAAATACTTTGTTTCTAAGCACGTTGAAGAGTTTTGCTACTCCTGAATTCTCAGATTTTATGATCAATTCATTCAAACAGCATCGTAATATTCTTGATGTGCAAAGACATATATTCTTGACGCGTGCAAAATTATGGCAGCACACCTTTATATACCAAATGTTGTTTCCTTATTTTCTTAAGGTAAGGATTGCCTGCTAAGCATTTTTTAAGACAATGTACTCGAATATTTGACCTGACCTAACTCGTTATGTATCCATAGGCGGAGCTAGCCCACTTTGCCCTTGTCACAAGACGGGTATAAATTTTGGGGAGGAAAAAAAATACACCTACAAGTAACATAAGGATGTTTTGTCACTACATCATAAACTCATTAATTGACAAATTAATTTATTGGTTCCACTCTTGATGCTATTATTTTACAACAGCTTGTTCATGATGAATTATTTCAAGCAATGGTGGAGACAAAAGTGCATCAATCATATATGCTAGTTTATTTGCTTCTTAACCTAGTTTTGATTCGATCAGTTGCCACTGTAATTGTAGAAATAGCATTTGTAGCTTAGCTTGAGTTATATGTGGATTCTATGGTCCAACTTTGCTTTTCCATTTGCCGACTAAAAACAATGCAAAAAGTGCTAGTGTTTTCCCCGACGAGAAAATCTAGATGAACATAATTGGATTTTGCACCTTTGACTTCCAGACAAACGATCGAACAACACAGTTCACACCTCTTAACAAAGTTCAAACAGGAGTGTTCAATGTTTTGATGAACTACGAGGCAAATCTACATTAAATTAGCCCCACTCCTATGAAGGTTCAGTGAGAGCTCCAAAAACTACGACTATGGCTAAAATCTGCATAGGAAAAGAGAAAAAGATAAAACTTGACAAGTGGTGTCGAGTTGTGATTTTTGCGAACCCTTTCTCTGTCATCTTCACCTCCTATTTATAGCCACCATAAGTAACTACCTCAAGAAACTGCTCTGTTGACGTGGAGTGACGCTTACCCTCTCAACTGCTATGACGGTTACCCTGATGTTGGATGTGAGATCCTCTTCAGTCTTGACCCCCTCCTCTTGAGACCTCAACCTCTGCTCTTGGCGTCTCCTCCGTAGTTTTGCTTATATATATATATATATTTTTTTTTTTTGACAAAAGATAATCCATTAGAATCAAGAAAAATAGTTACATCCTGGAAGACAGCCAGGCCTTAAAATCATAGAAACGGCACGTAGCCGGGTACAAAGAGAGGGCTTTTCTTGCCACCAAATGGGCTACCCTATTGTTACTCCGACCTACAAACCGTACACAAAACCCAGAATGGACAGCTAAAAGATTTATAACTTCTTGCAGAATCACTCCCATCTGGCTATCACTTGCATCCCCCCGATTTAGCTTATCAATAATCACTTTGGCGTCGCCTTCAAATTGCATCTCCGAAAAACCCAAGCTTAGGCACCACTGAATTGCCTCCCGGAGCACCAGCAGTTCGACAATTGGAGGAGCATCAATATGCGGAATCTGAACCCCTTGAGCCAGTACCGGATCACCACTCTCATCCACAATCACCATCCCACCCGCCGCATG